TGCATTTCCTCCCTATACCTTAAGTTAAGGAGGGAATGTTCCCCCTTCTTTTACCTCTTGACCCCCAGCTTCGACATGCCCAACTCGTTTTGACGATCCCCACCGACGTCCCGAATATCGTGACCGTACGTCGAGCGGTTAAGATTTGTGCCCAACTGTTGACGCACGCACGGACGCACGCTCATGCGATTCTACAAGCTGCATCTGACTACGTCAGATGAGCTAAAAACAGATGCACTTAACCTTATAATGTATAGCTGGTTCTGTTATCAATTTATTGACCTTTATGTTCGAGCAAGACCACCATGATCGCTCAGATACTGTCACTAAGTTGGTCAGGTTGGAATGGTTTATACCCGTTTTTCATGCGTGCACGCTGTATTCTCGCCTTTGTGGCACACCTCATTACCAGTTGTTCTCATTTAAAACATCTCATCACAACAATGATTGGTTAGAGCTGCCTGCCAATCATGTCAGATGTATAGGTCAATTAACAAGTGCCGCAGAGTGACAGCGCTCAACTGACGTGTACTGTAGCCGGGTATTTTTCTGATGAACTGACTGGCAACCGAATCAAGTGCGCCCTCCCGCCACCGCGTTCGCGCTCAGAGCATATATCTAGGATACTACTAATACAGATCTAAAACCTATGATAGGCTTTGCTATACCGGTAGTACAATAATAAAGATACAGCTGTGTAACTTTAATGACTTCACTATATTAACATGTTATCATGGATATGCGTCGAGCGCAAGCGTAGTGGTGGTGGTAGGAGGAGGGGAGGCTCTAATAGCAAAAGCAGTTCAGTCCTTTGTTAACAGTCAACAAATCAGTGTTTACCCCTTCTCTTGAACTTCAAAAGGTTATCAGACACTCTTCGCATGTCAGCGGAAAGCACATTTCATGGCCCTTTCATTAAAGTGATAAAAATGGTAGGTCAGCACTGAAACAAAAAAGTTTTGCACTCGGTCTGTTAGACCATGTCCTCAGCAAATGTCTGATATCTGACCTTTCCCCCACTGACCTTTGACCTGTGACCTTTAATTTCGCGCTGGTGCTGGTTTTCCTCCCCATCACACTATACATCGAATATTAAGAGCGTAGGTCAAGCCGTTGAGATTTGTGCTGCAATT